GCCTTACTACATATGCACCCAAAACCAGTTCAGAGTGGATCAGGCCCCTATCTCCCATCCCCTGATATGTCCTGGAATACTTGGAATGGAAACTGATCACAAAGGGAGCATCACCAAGAAGTTGCTAAGAGAAGAGAGATTTTTTCCATTGTTTGAAGTGGGGTGTGCCTGTGGCTCCACACAGGTAAGGCTCCGGACTTGCTAGGTGCATTGTTAGAAAAGGGGTGTGTGCATAAATCAAGCCAAGTGATGCTCCAGGGTGCTAAGCTGTCCCTCCACTTACCCGCTTCAATTGTATCTGCCTAAGACATACCTCAGTGACTACTGGTAACTTATCCAGGTAGTAGCAGATCTGCCCCTGCTGCCAGTTTTTAGGTTCCTATAACTTAAACTATATGGAAATGTCCTTTAGATCACCTGGTAGAGCAGAGACTTTGAGTTCCTGTTGCTTTCTTTCAGTTGTTTATTCCTGTATCCTTTCATATATCCAACAGTCATTCAATAATCACTATGAAATTCTACCCTGAGCCCAGGTCTGGGTTGATCCAATGGAAGTGTCCTTGCTTGCTGGAAGTTTGTCAACACATCACAGGAAATGAATCATCTGTACTCTACAAATAACAACCACCTTGATTCAACTGCTTGCTGTATTAGTTTGCTCATGCTGCTATACTGTAACAAAATACCATAGGCTGGGTGGTTTAAACAAGCAGAAATGTATTTCCTCACAGTTCTGGAGACTCCTAGAAGGGTTGGATTCTTCTGAGAGCTCTCTTCTACCACTTACAGACAGCTACCTCTTCACTGTGTCCTCACATGACCAATAGCAAGATTGAGACAGCTCCCTGGACTCATTTTATAATCCCATCAGGAGGATTCTACCAGTGTGGCCGCACCTAAGCCTAACTCTCTCCACAGGCTTCATCCCCAAATACCACTGCTCTAGAGCTTTGGACTTCCAGATGTGAATTACAGGAGACACAATTCAGTTCCTAGCATCTGTCATGGGTTAAATTTGTAATCTGGTCATCTTAATCCTTACACTGGTTCCCTCCAAACCCATTGCTCTCCTTTTCACAGAGGAGGAAAGGGCAGTTTAGAGAGGCTCAGAGCTGCTGGAAGGTACACAGCTGGAGACCAGCCCAGCAGGGTGTGATCCTGGGGCCACTGGCTCTGTCCCCAGCAAACTTCTGCCTACTCTCCTTCTGCCTACCTGAGATACTCCCCTGCCAGACACCCTGGGAAGCATAGCATCCAAGCAGGGGAATATGGATGTTGCCCAGCCCTGGCTCACAGCAAAGGCTCATGGTCATGGCTGCTGAACAGCTTCCTGGCCCAACAAGGCCCTGGAAGAGTGTCAAGCAGGAAGCCTGTGAGTGACCTCTAAGCAAGAAGAATGAGGAAGAGGAGGAGGGGGAGGAGGAGGGGAAGGGGGAGGGGGGTGCAGAGAATGCAGTAAATATCAGCAAGGCTTGATGCTTTGTCAGAAGAAGATTTAAAAAGAAAAAGCCAGATACGTTGGTGTATGCCTATAATCTCAGCACTAGGAAGGCTGAGGCAGGAGGATTGCAAGTCCCGCCTTGAGGCACCCTAGGCTCCACAGCAAGACCCTATCATACAGAAAGAAAAGGGATGAGGGGGAGAGAAATAAGACCAAGTTAAATTTTAGAACTATATCAGTCTAATAATTTCTTGGGCATTCCCCAATGCAATCAAAGGATTTTTAAATGTTAAGGTGCTACATAAGAAGAAATT